CTCAAGGTAGTCATGTTAGGAGAATCTATTCGAGCTTACTCCCAGGAGCCTTTATTGGAGAGACCTTTGCAGAGAAATTTCCCGTCCTCTTTAGCACCATCGAACTAATAGGACTGTGCAGACTACCAATTCCCCGGTCCCTGCACCCCCAAACAACAGCCATGCATCTCGCCCCTCCTCCTCCCACCTCACCCCCAACCCCTCAACAGCAAGGCTGTTTTCATCTCTCGCAGCTAATACCTGCAACTGTCTTAGGGTGGTACCTGAACCTTATCAGAAATAGAGAGAGATTGAGCGAATCAGAAAGGCCAACACCGTGAGCAATATACACTTCAACGCACGCCATTTATACAGTCCCTATGTGTTGCTCAAATGCTCAGAAAATGCATGCAAATCCAAATGTTGGAGAGGCAGCAATTCAAACCCGTTCGCCAGCTGTTCCCGAAGGAACGAAACCGGTGAGTCTGGGGTGAGGCAAAACGATGCTAAATCTAAACCCCACCTCGTTGGGAAACGACATCTTTAATCGCGCCCTCGTCTCCAGACCTAGGTTCCCGCTTCGGCACGTTAAGCAGGGCGCACGCACCCCATCCCTGGGGTTGGGAAAATAACAACTGTTGGCCCCCTGGAGCGCAGCGCAGCATCTGCACCTCCCTTCTCCCACCTCCTGGTTTATTTTTAACCGCCTTCCATTCATGCCCTTCTGTCACATTCCCAATATTATTTTCCCTCAAATGTCCACTGCTTGTTAACAGCCAGAGGAGGAGAGGGGAAGAAAGACAGGAAAGGTATCGTACTTACCGTTCCCAGGAGGGGTGCAAAATAAAAATAAAGAAAATCCCCCGGTTGGTTTTTATTTTCCACTCTCAAGCTGCAACAGCTGGAGGAGGGGAAGAATGATCTTGAGGGTAGAAGGAATCACGCCTGTGTGGCAGGTGGAGGCTCCAAAATATCCACGGAACAAGTTCTGTTGCCTGGCCAGAGGAGCAGAGTCCTAGCTTCTGGAGCCCAGGGGTGGGAATAGGGGCCGCCCCAGGGAAGACCCCCAAGGCTCCTGGTTCCTCTGGAGTTCAGCACAGAAGCGCTCGACTGGAAAAGGAAGTCAAGGTTCCCCAGAAGAAGAAACAAAATCCTAGACAGCAGCAATCACTTGTTAAGCCCGAATTCCTCCTCCAACATCCATCCCTCTCCCTCTCTGGCTGGCTGCAGAAGCAGCACACGCCTCCCCTGGCCGGGAACGCGCGCTGGCCGGGGGCGGGGCCAGGGCCGTGCCGAGGGTGTGGCGTTCGCCACGGTCGCCTGGGGCACCTCCCGCGCGGCCAGGCGGGCGCAGTCACGACGCAGACACTGCCCGCCCCCCACCCCCCGGTCCGGCCCCCGACGCCGAGGCTCAGGGGAGCGACTGAGACCACTTATTCCAGGGGCTCCTGCCTGTAGCCCCAGAGACGAGTTGCTGATCCCAGAGAGAGAGGTGTCCCCTTCGGAGCCGAAATGGGATCCCGACGGCAAAGCTGAAGCCCCAAGATAGTTGAGGGGTGGGGAGTTGACTTCGACGGGAAGGCCAGACTCGGGAATAGGGTACTTCTGGGCATTTTCTCTCCATGACCCGCTTTCTCTCCATCTCTCTTGGCACAGGTTGGGGCCCGGGTGCATCCCTGGCGAGGCCGCTGGCCGGGAGCCCTCCCGTCGCCTGCGAGCTCTCCCAAATCCCTCAGTCTCTGCCTCCCTTACAGAGTTTATCGGCCTCAACTCGGGGTACTGGCCTCCAGGGCGCCGAGGAGACGGACTTTAGACACGTGTTCCACCCAGGTGAGGGTTGCAGAAATTGGATCAGGCCCGAGATAAAGGCTGTACAGCGGAAGCACAAGTCTGAGTGGAAGGAAGTCGGAGGGCTATGAGCGGTTTATAAGTGGGGCTTGGGCTGGGGGCCTTGGAAGGAGAGAAGGAGGCCTCCGCGAACCTGTTGCTGCAGAAAGAAATACGACTCGGCGGGAGGTTTGGCACCCCGGGAGGTCTCTATCGGAAGGTCTCTACCGTACTAGTCAGATCTCTAACACCACCCACTTAACAAAAAAAATATCACCCCCTTCCCACCCCCGCGCCCTGTGGGGCAGGCGAGTGCACCTGCAGCGGAGTCTTCACCGCTGGATGGACTCCCAGGTTGCTAACTGGGTGGCTGGCGTGTGAAATTACCCTGGACATGAATGTAAATGTGCATTTCCCACAAATACACTAAAAGAAAGGATAGCGATGGGAAGTGCGAAATTTACACAGACATAACCAAAAGCTCAGGTGGCGGCCAAGGTTCTGGGCACCTCTCCTCAACCCCCCTGATGGGCCACGCAGGCAGTGACAGTACACGCCCGGACTGCTGGAGAAAATCCGACCTTGGGCAGGTCAGCTGGCACTGAGGCGGCCACTGTAGTCCTCAGCTGGCAGCTTTGTTCGAGGGCCTTATTGGGCCTCCTCCTTTTGTGGCGCTTGATTAATTATTAAAAGAAATATTCCCGAGCTGAATTATAGATATGCCTTGTACTCACTAACCTAACCACGGCTGGCTCCGCGAAGGACAGACACCTGGAGGACAGCTGTTCGATTTTGTTACCGTTCGATTAAAAAAAAAAATTTTTTTTAACTGAAATATTTGCCATTGTAATCAGTGGAAAATATGAACAACAACAAAAAAAACTGACGTCCAACTTTGGTTTTCCTAACTAACTAAAATATTTGCCATTGTAATCAGTGAAAAATATGAACAACAACAAAAAAAAACTGACGTCCAACTTTGGTTTTCCTAACTCCTTCCAGCTAGTTCAGCTTGAACTTTCGTTATGAATAAATTTACCTTCATCCCTTGGCCTCAACCACAGGTGGAGGAACTGAGCTGAAAGGTGCTTCCCCACTACAGATCATGCCAGCAAGTAGGGAGCATGGATTTCTCCGAAAGTAAAAATGATCATGTGCACTAGCCCCAAACCCTCTCTGTGGCTCCACAATGTGATGTAGTCCCTGTGCAGTTTCATACCTACCAAAAGCAGGTAATTAAATGTTTCTTGCGATGGTAGAAGGCAAGGCTGAGGGCACAGGATCCTGGGACTAGTTTCCCAAAAGCAATTTGTGAGATCAATCGGAAGCAACAGTGGAATGCTTTCAGAGAGATGAAAACAGATTGAATGATGTACAAAAGATGACAGTTACATTGAATCTTGGGCATTTTAATGGGATCATGTTAAAACTTTATGAATTATGCTTCCATATGCCATTTATGGTTTGTTCCTATCACAGTCCAGAGAATTTTAAAGTTTAAAATGTCTGAGGACTTTATAAATATTTGTACTTTTTAGGTATCAGGAATCTGAGTTACTAAAGCACTAGGAGAATGCAGTCAAATGCAGCTGAAGAAAAACCACTCTCAGGAAGATATTCAGGTCATACAACAAATATTTATTGAGAACTTGATCAAGGTAGATAATGCTCATCAAGTGCCCACATAGTACTCAGCCCTGTGCTAAGTTCTTTGCATGCATATTGTCTAATTTTATCTGAATAAACACTTGATGTGATAGGTACTATTATCATTATTTTATAAAGAAGGAAATTGAGGCTGACAGTGGTTAACTAACTTGCCCAAAAGTTATATAGCTAATTATGTAGCTATATAAGACAGGTCCTATAAGACAGGTCCTTATTCATCTAACTCTGCAATGTGGACGAACCCCAAGCTAGTGATGATAATACCATGTGGTCTGTGCCCATTCATCCTCACGAACTAGTGGCTGTATCAGCTGCATAGACAGTTTATGAAACAAGGGAATGCATGCTATGATGGAGATGTGAGAATGGTGTTCCTGGGGTGCAAAAAATGGAGCAGCACCTGATTTGGGAGAAGCAAGCACAGATTGATAAGGAAAGGGGAGATGTGTCTGAAGAATGGTGAGAACAGGAGTGGCTGCCGTGGAGAACACATGGGCACATGGCACTGGGGTGGATCAAGAGTAAGCTAGAACCTGAGAGATAGGTGGGGGCTAATTGGGAAGAGTATGCTTTGCCCCCTGCCTTGTTCCCCACCATCCCCCCCACACACACACAACCTCTTTGCCCCTTTAAATAATTATAAAGTGATCAAGAAATATTCCATTTCTCTCTCCATGAAATTCTCTTAAAAATTCCTAGAAACCCACACAAATAAACAGTCATAGAAAAGATCCTTTGCTTTTATAGCAAAAATCTACCTTGTCTCAATCCCAAAACTCTATTTTCTTTAGAGAGGAAGAATTATTTTCTTGTCTTAGTCATCAACTAGTCAAAATTTTGCAAGCTCCCCACCCTCAAATACACTTGTTACGACAAATAATTTCTCCATGGCTTTGAATTCTCTGTGGTGATACAAATGTTCCAGAGTTCACCATGAAGTCTTCGCATACATAGAAAGGGGCAAAGGGCAGCAGATCTTCCTTTGTACAAAGCCTATAGCAGGCCTTGTAGGATACAGACTAAGTCCATTATAAATGGTTTCGTTTTCTTTGGAGACCATGGTCCCCAACAGAACATTGAATGGCAATGTTCTGTTTACCCCTCTTCTCTCCCTCCCAGAAGTCCATGACACCTTGAGAATGTACTAAAATGAATGAATAATGGAAGAGGCTTCCATTTGCCAAGAAAGTTCAATACATGTGTTAGGAGAAAACTAAAAGATCATTTTTTTTTCCTGCCTACCTCACCCTCTCAACTATCTGACTTTTAAAGTTCTGAAGGTAGTGAGGGTGAGTCCTGGGGAACTTGATTCTATGCCTCCCTGTCCAAAATTTATAGATGCAGATATTCTGAGCAGCCCATAATTCCTTATAAACATGGGCTATTCAGCGATTCGGCTAGTTTTTTCTTGCTGATAGATTTTTCAATGACAGTTCACCACAACTTTCCATTCCATCTTATGCATACCAGTACTGATCAGGTCTTAAGACATCAGAAAAGCATAATTTACTTCTTATTTAAGTGAGGAAACATTGACTCTGGAGAGAGAGACTGACCACTCGCTTGCTTCCTGACTGATCACAGCACTGACAGGCACAGTGGGGAGTAAGACCGCTGCTATTTGCCCTGGGTGGACACCCACGGTCTAGAGGGTGAGAACTGAGTCAACACACTCATGTGGTAAGGGTCTGATAGAAGCCACACAAGGGGCAGAGGGAAGCAGCCTTTAATTAAGGTTGGAAAGAAAGGTTTTCAAGGCAGAAAGAGCCACATGGCAAAGGCTTATTGAATAAGAATGGCACGTTTGAAGATAACAAAGATAAGCAGATGATCCAATATGGAACCAGAAAGGGAAACAGTAATGGTGGTCTTAGATATGTCATGCTCAAGAATTTGAACTAGGGTCCATGATAAAATGCTGACTGAAAGAATTTGCAGCCCTTTTCCCACCTTTTACATACAGGACAGATGTAGTTCACAAACACAGTACACTCCCTTGGACAAACCCAGATTAGCAACTGTGGTATCCATTGAAAAGACTTGAGTTATAGAGATTCCTAGGCTTCCTGGCTAATATGGCATACCTTTCTCCTCCATCTATGACTACATCTTATGAGCCAAGTGAGTGAAATTGAGTTGGCATGACCATAAATCATCTCAGATTTAGTTTTCTAAATGCAAATCAATAAAAATAATATCCTTCTTTAATTGAAGTAACTCAGAATTTGTAATGCACTCAACCTTGAAACAGTGATACACCTTGAACAGTGATACATAGTTGGGTAACACTGCTGCTGAGATTCACTCTAATAAGGTGATGCAGAATCACGCTTTTTTAGCTCTTTGTTCTGCTTTCCTTATATGTGGTTAGGAAATAGGGTGGTTGTGGAGGTTCACTTAAAATGAAGTAGCAACCAGAGTGTAGATAAAATATAACCACGGTCTTGTCTGCTGGCAAAAATCAGTCAAGAGTAAACTTGGGGCAGAGGTGAATCAAGGAAGGTTTAGGTATGGAATGGTGTTTTAGTTCCTACAGTCGCTACCACCAACATGTGTTCTGTAATAACTCCTCATAGTTTATGCCAAAGATCTTTTACCATATATTTAAATGTGAGCCTTTTTTATAAAAATAAGAGGCATGATATACATCTTGCCAAAATGTGTTCCAAACTCTCTGAAGGCCACTTTAGATATGATCAATGATCATCGGACAAGCTGGATTCTACTCTCTTAAAAGTCGGCTCCTTCTCCCTCTCCCTTATTTT